CCAGGGCACAGCAGGCATGGCATATTCTCGACACCGTAGGGGGTGCGCAGTGGGTGGTCTCTCACCGCGGCCGCTATCCGTGGCGGTCGTCCAGGGCACAGCAGGCATGGCATATTCTCGACACCATACGGGGTGCGCAGGGGGTGGTCTCTCACCGCGGCCGCCTTCCGTGACGGTCGTCCAGGGCACAGCAGGCATGGCATATTCTCGACAGCGTAGGGGGTGCGCAGGGGGTGGTCTCTCACCGCGGCCGCTATCCGTGACGGTCGTCCAGGGCACAGCAGGCATGGCCTATTCTCGACACCATAGGGGGTGCGCAGGGGTTGGTCTCTTACCGCGGCCGCTATCCGTGACGGTCGTCCAGTGCACAGCAGGCATGGCATATTCTCGACACCATAGGGGGTGCGCAGGGGGTGGTCTCTCACCGCGGCCGCTATCCGTGACGGTCGTCCAGGGCACAGCAGGCATGGCATATTCTCGACACCATAAGGGGGTGCGCAGGGGGTGGTCTCTCACCGCGGCCGCTATCCGTGACGGTCGTCCAGGGCACAGCAGGCATGGCATATTCTCGACACCATAAGGGGGTGCGCAGGGGGTGGTCTCTCACCGCGGCCGCTATCACAGCAGGCATGGCATATTTTCGACACCATAGGGGGTGCGCAGGGGGTGGTCTCTCACCGCGGCCGCTATCCGTGACTGTCGTCCAGGGCACAGCGGTATCGGCGGGACAGCGGCCACCAACATCATTCTCACATGCTTCATTTCCGCTCTCATCATTTCCTCCATTATATATGGTATGTGGGGTTCATCGTTTTTTTTTTTTTTTTTTTTTTTTTTTTTGTTCCTCATTCTTCTTTGTCTTCTTGTCTTCTTGTCTTCCGTCTTCTTGTCTTCCTTCTTTCTTTTTATAAAAATTATAAAAATAATTTGTCTGCTTTCTTTCATTATTTCTTTTCTTTTTTTGCTTCTTCTGCCTTGCGTGTCTGACGTCGTTGTGGTCAATTGTTTTCCGCTGGCGAAGAAGAGCGGCTCGCCAGTAATGGTCATGTTGAAAAGTCATCCTCCTTCTCCTCCTCCTGCTAACGCAGGCTATCGCTGGGGGGGGGGAATCACCCAAGCACCTTTCCCACGTGGACAGACTTGCTGGCAGCTCGTAGCTCGAATGAGGATGGCGGTGAGGAGGGCGTCGTGCCCGCCCGTGAGGGTCCGCCCACCTGGCCCGCCTGTCCTATCCGTCCGGGTTTATCTAGGAGCTGGCATAAGAAGAGAGGCCCCCTCCACAGGGGGGGTGCGTTCACAGACGAGGGGGGCGGGGATCGAGGGCGCATGTTGAACGACGCGCGAGCAATGGGTGGCGAGCGGTCCGAAGATCACGTTTGAATTCTCACTTCTCATGAGTATCCGTTGTTGACCTCCCTTGTGTGGTGTGCGTCGCTTTGAACTGAAGTGTACCCTTCGACGCTCGCACCTAGCTTTTGTCAGGGGAGGGGGGGGGGGGGTCCTCTGCTCGAGCTGGGCCCCTGGGCCTCTCGGCGCAGCAACAGTCCTGGCTCCCGACTGGTTTCCTATTTACGCATCATCGACCGATTGTACTCGTGCCTGAGAGTTCCTCGCGATCTGTTAGAATTGGTCGCGCTCTCGCTTAGGGCGCCCCCGAAATCTGCTTGGGGAACGCGCTCTTGCCTTTCGGGCGTCGTGCGTTCGTCCGAGACTATTTTGCAATTCGTTGAGGACTCGGGCTCTCGCGTGTGATGGCCTCGCCGATCGCTGCGGAAATTTGGCCCCCCTCCTGGACATCCTCGCGATTTGTTCCTCGGATGGCGCCTCTTCTGACCAGGAAGTGCGCTCTCGATTGGAATTTCCTTGCCGCCCGCCCGCCCGCCGACCCGACCCGCCTATTAGGGCCCGCCCGCCCGTCCTGCCCGTCAGGGTCTGCCGGGCCGACCGCCCCGAGAGGTTCCAGTCTCCCGCCCGTCTGTTGGGGCACGCCCGCCCGGCCTGCTCGTCGGGTGTCCGCCCGCCCCGCCCGCTCGCCCGACCCGCCTGTCAGGGCCCGCCCGCTCGCTCGCTTGGGGGCCCGCCCGCCCGCTTCGATGCGTCGAGATTTTGGGCGCAACGCAGAGCGCGAAGTACTCGGGCAGGAAACTTGCATGCCATGACTTCCGCGTCGCGGAGCTCGACGACAGAATCGCGTCGGGCTGGCGCCGATTCAACCAAGTCGCCTGCGCCTCCTCAATGGGGCCGTCGCTCCCAGTGTCATGCGCGGATGCAGCTCGTGGGCCCCAACCAAAGACATGCTTGCATTGCTGCAGCGTGTCGCTGGAACGACGGCGAGAAAGACCTCCAACTTAGCAGCGACCAACAGGAGGGGGGGGGATGGAGCCGAGCGCACAGAGCTAGACGGAGACTTCGCCGAGAGCAGCCCAGACAATGACGACAGCACTAACAACGACGACTTTGGCAACGACGGATGCGCTAAGAGCAGCGACAACAACGGCGACGACGACGGCAGTTCCAGCAGCAACGACGGCGACGCCAACAGCGACGACGGATTAGAGCCATGGGTGGACCGCATCCGACGAGCGACGCGCACAGCCGACGCCCATGTCAGACTCGCGAATGTCGACCATTGGGCTTCGCACTACTCTAAAGTGGAGATGGGCCAAGCGGGTTGCCAACATACCGGCCGACCGCTGGGCTCGACGCGCCGCCGCTTGGCAACCCCCGCAGCGCGACAGAAGACCCGCGCAACGAAAACAAGGCGGACAGCGGAAGCGTTGGGACCGCGAGGTCGTCAAATTTTAGGGCACCATGGATATGATTGACCGCGGCAAGAGACTTCTCGATGATGCTGGCGAATGGTGGTTTGCACTGGCGCACGATAGCTGCGCTTGGCAGGGCTTAGAGGGCAAGTTTGTACGATGCGCCGTCGACCAGCAAAGCGCGGACGACGCGTGCCAAGACACCGAGCCCAGCCGCCAATGCGTGAAATCCAACCGGAGCGAGCTGGGCATGCAGACCAATTCCAAGCTTTTGACCTCCACCTTCCGACCCCCAACTCTCACGTCCACATCCCGACTTCCAGCGTGCGACATCCGATTTTCCACTTCCACCTCCACCTATCGACCTCCGGCTTCTTCCAGCTCACCACTCCCGCCTCCAGCATCCACCATTCCGACTTTCACTTCCACTTCCGCCCGTCGCCTTCCAGCGTCCAGCAGCCCAGCGCTCCGACCTCCGCCCGCCAGCAGCATGTGACTTTCCACCTTCACTTCCACCCGTCGACCTCCAGCGTCCAGCAGCGCAGCGCTCCGACCTCCCCCTCCAGCACCCGACTTTCCACCTCCACTTCCACCTGCCGACCGCCCAGCACTCCGACTCCAGCATCCGGCTTCTGACTCTCCACTTCCACGTGCACCGCTTGATTTCCAGCGTCCACCAGCTCGTAATTCAGCACCCCGACTTCGGCAAACAAGGACTACAAGCACTGAGGGCCCTGGCCCCCCCGCGCAGGCCCTAGGGGGCCCCGCTCTCGGCGGAACCGCGCGCTCGCCTCGCCTCGCCTCGTCTCGCTTCGATGTGTTCAGCTGGCGCGGCCCGCGCGGCCTGCCCCGCCTGCCCGGTGGGGCCCGCGCCCCCCCCCCCCCCCCCCACGCACGCGCACCCGCGTGCCTTGCCCTTTCGGAAATTGCTCAAGAGCTGTCATAAAGAGGGGCCCTCCACAGGGGGTGCCTGTGTACCCGAGGGGTATGCGTAGCGAGCAGTGAAAACATGGAGTGGTCGAGCCCTTATTTCTGAAGTCTATTTTGCGTTGATTCCCCAACTGGTTTCTATGCGTCAGGGCGTTTGAGCAGGAAGTGCTGGCAGTTGTAGTAGGCCCTGTCGCTATTCAGGGAGATTTGGGAGGTGACGTTTGGTATGGGCGCAACGTGATGCATTCCTGCGATCGATGTCCTGCAGAGACGAACTGGCATGCTAGTCGCACATTCGTTGCCATTTTGGAGTGCTGCCCGCACGTCGCGCTGTTCGCGCGGATTTCACCCGGATTTGGCTCACTATTTGCTTCCCTGCTCGAGACCAAAACCTCCAGGTCGGTACTGCGTGGCCGCGGTTATCCCCCCCCCTCCTACTCCAACTCCTCGCATTTCCCTCCTCGCTCCGCAGAGGTTTCTGGAGGTCCCCTCAAGTCCCGAAGGTCTTCGGAGCCTTTTGAAGCCCGCTGGAGGCCACCAGGCCCACGAAGGGGCAAACGCGTTTCAAGTTCTGGATCCTCGAACCACGAGCTTGGAACCTCGTCACGTCCTCCCCCTTCTCGTCCTCGTCGTGGTCATGGTCGTGGTCGTGTTCGTCGTCGTTGTCGTGAATGTGTTGGTGGTCGTCGTCGTCGTTGCCCTAGTCGTCGCTTCTGATAGTTCTCTGGCCGGGCGGCCACCCTACGAGCCATACGTGCCGTTTGGAGAAAGAGCAGCCGAACATGTACTCCAGAGGCCAAGCGGCGTCATGAAGAAAAGGGTACTGAGGGAAAGGGTTCCTGAGCTTGTTTGCTGTTCTCGGGGCCCAGGAGCGTACAAACACTCAGGATGAAAGTCTGGTCCCTGTGAGAGGCCCGGGGTCCAGGACCCACTTCTCTCAGGACTCCCCCGGCGCCAAGCAGTTGCCATTCGACGTGCTCGTCGCCATTTGGGTCGTCGTTGGTCCTCCGAAGGGCCTGTCTTCTGCCTCGTCGTATGCAGATGTTGTATGTCGGATTGTATAACTATGGTCCAGGCATCCTCTGTAGATGCTGGAGTGCATGCTGTAGCTGGATTTCTCACTGCAGAAGCTGGCCCTTACGTTCTTTTTGTTGACGCGGGCTGATGGTGAGGCCTAGTCCGAGCCCTCCTCCTACTCCTCATCCCCCTCCTCGTCGTCCTCCTCCTCTTCATACTCCACTTTCTTGTCACCCCCCCAGGTGATCAGGGTCGAATGTCACTGTCCCTGTTGTGTTTGGCTGCCCTTAGGTTCGTGGTGAACTGGCTCCTCAGCGAGTCAGACCCGACG